TGTAGGGATAAGGGGAAATGAAATGGCAGATAAATTAGCTAAAACGGCGTTAACAAAAGGAAACATAGAAATGCAAGTAAGTATCAGTAAAGCAGAGGTTAAAAGTGTGATATGGAAGACAATAAATCAAATGTGGCAAGAGAGGTGGGATAGAGAGGGGAAAGGAAGGCATTTATATCAAATCCAGAGGGACGTTAAATGTTCAGTGATTGGTAGTGGAAATCGCAGAGAGGAAACAGTCATATCTAGGTTAAGATTGGGACATTGTTTATTAAATAAAACACTCAAGTTAATAGGGAAACATGATACTGGATTGTGTGAGGTTTGCCAGGAAGAAGAGTCAGTGGAGCATGTGGTCTTGAGGTGCAGCAGGTATGAGGTTCAGAGAGAGTTGGGATGAAATATGCTCGTTTTATCGCTTCCCCGCTGATGCGGAGACTCTGGGTTCGTACCATAAGGTAAACTCATATTACGATTATTCCATGTAAACACCAGATTTGCCGGCTTAGTCACGGTGAAAGTGAAACTTTAACGATGCATAGTGCTTAAAGCCACGTTCAAATTAAATGTTTACGGCCACATGAAGCTGTTAGAAAGCATATGCGGATTTCCTAGAAGCAATAACATTTTGTGTACCCACCCTAACAAAGCTGAAATGTGGTACTTTATTCACTAAAATAAGTTTAATCTTACCATATCCCAAAACTCGCTCACTCTGCTGTTATTTAATAGATTAAATGCACTAGAGTTTAATTGAATAGTACGTGGAGACACGTTTTTAATTAAAATATTCATGTTAATCAAGCATTTGTTGACTTTTAATGCAGCTCATTTCGAAATGTACGGAATATGTGCTTTCATATGTCTTCATACTGAACACGTTAAAAATAAGTTTGAAAAAGCAGGGGGTGGTGACGCTGAAGGCGAAGTTATAGCCTAAGTTTAGCTTTTAAGTTCTGGCGCTTTTATTTAGGCTTCAAAATTCATCAAAGTTATATTATTTTGTGAAGATTATCTTGGACAAAACGTGTAAGTTTCATGAACTATGGTTGAACACGGAGCTTATTTTTTTTCGATAATCCAAAAGCCTGTGGAAAAATCATTTTGTCGAGGGAACCAGTGTCGTGCTAACAGCCGATCCGCAGACAAAGCCATATAGTTTTGTCAACCAAAACACAAGTTCAGTGACCTTATAAAGACAATGCAAGTGGCTCTGTGCCACGGACAGTTTTGTCAGTACTTACTAAGGCACGTGTTTTCAAACATTTTAGGATCCGCAAATATGATTGCATATGGGACTTTTTTCTAATAAAGACTATATTTTCATGCATAAAACCCCGTATCCTGTGTGACAAAAACAAACATATGGAAAATATTTACTTTGATTAAGTTGACAGTGTATTTTTTTCTACCCACCACTCTATATGATATCCTGGTCTTAAAATAAAGGCCAGGGGCACCTCTGTCAATTTAAGTCTATTTTATAGCAGATAAGTCAGACTGTAAGCCAACACCCCTTAACAGTTCGAATGTATTATGAACCCACTGATGAATGTTGTTTCTGCGTATTCCACAGCCGCGTTTGTACAGGCAACAGTCGGACTTTATTTTGAAAGTCGAGACTGGAGCACGTGACTCCGCTCTGTTTACAGCGGAGTAAGTACACTCTTCCTGTGTAACGGTAGTGGACGGCGAACTGTCTGCAGATAATTTCGCTGCTGAAGGAGCTGGACTGCTTGCTTGTAACTACACAGGTGAAGGATAATCTACCGGGAGTAATAATGCAGCGCTACACAAAGCCAGTGAAGGAGTTTGTGGAAGAACACCCTACAGGTGTCGCAGTTGTCCTGGCTACGGGTAGGCTAACGTTAAAGCATAACGTTAAAGCTGGTTGTGGTTTCCCACGACTACGAAAAATAAGTAAACGTGTGGCACTTTAAAACTGAGATTTACAAGCGCGGAAAATGACTTTATTAAAACCTGACTGCGTCAAGGAACAAAAATTTATTATTTTAGTGTTTTTTCTTGTCATTCTCAAATTTAGGAATCGTTTTTGTCAGTGCAAACATGTTCCAGTAAGCTTGAACGGCTGGTTATTGCAAGTCGAGTAAAATGTAAAAGAGGAAAGTCAAGGGACTTCATTAATTAAGAGATGTGGGGACCATGCATTATTTACTATAATGAGAAATATTGATATATCTCTTAATATAGGCCTCGTGCGTCTTGGATGACCTTTGCCTGTGCTTATCAGATGTACCGACGTTGAGAGAGTCGGTTAGAGGTGAGGTAATGATTAGGGAGTCGATTCCGAGGCGTTGGGAATTGAGAGTCGATTCCATCAAGGGGAATCGACTCCTCATTCAGAGCCCTTTTCAGTTCAACAAAGCTCATCTATGGGTGCCTCTCAAACGGAAGGCTGCATCCTACGAAGGCTGCACACATTTAAATTCACGAAAATAAACTGAAAGAAAACGAGTCGGTACTGAGGATAATCTGAATTTTAGGATGCAGCCTTCCGTTTGAGAAGCACCTTGCACCTCCCTCATGCTCGCTAAAAGCCGTAATTACGAGAGTTGTGAGATAAAAGATTATTTTCATTTTTATGTTTTTATTACCATTCGCCTCCCTCATGCTCGCTAGTGTGTAAAAATAAAGAGCAGAACAGTTGCTCACAGCTGTGAGCTCTACTTTCACCCTTCAGAGCTGCACTATTTCTCTTCTTCTCCTCCTCTCCCCACACAACAGCACGCCCACCCAACCCACCAGCATGTGTTTTCATCAGCAGTTTGCTGTGTTACAAGTGTGACTGGGCCTGAACTTTGTGGCGACAAATTTTGCATTAAAAAGCACTCACTGAAATATTCTTCAAAAACTTGAAAAAAATCAGTTCTCTTTCTAACTATTGTTGCAGAAATTGCACACTTTGCCTTTAAAGGCAAAAGCTTAGGGACTCGTGTATGGGGGTAGAATTGTTGCTTAATTCCAAATAAATAGATTATGATCCCCAAATAAATCTTAAAGTTTCACAAACATGAATTAAATTCACAAATAAATAAAATGAGATTTGCAAATAAAAAACATATTCACAAATATATATTTATGTCACAACCACAACTTTGCCTGGCATTTATTTGTGAATCGCGTCCTGTGCATTTGTAGATAGCTGCACGCACTTGTGAATCGTGTCCTGTGCATTTGCGAATTGTGAAACATTTCTTGCGTCAAGACATGCTGACAATCCACAAATATGTGGACTCCACCCACCGTCTACTCAAGCCAATCAGATAACAGCCACATTCGCTGACCAATCGTAGCACGATCTCGCTATAGCCAATCACGTTTTGCTTTACAATCAGGGCGGTCTCGTCCTGAGATAACTTCATTCATCTGCATTGGCTCAAATAGGTCATATAAGGGCCATACAATGGGTACAGTAAAAGATGTTTAAAACTGGATTTCGTTAGACCATTAGACTGTGTATCATACCAAGCCACAGTATTTTATGTTTTATGTTTTATTTATTTGTGAATTTAATTCATGTTTGTGAAACTTTAAGATTTATTTGTGGATCTCATTCTATTTATTTGTGGATCATAATCTATTTATTTGGAATTAAGCAACAATTCTACCCCCATACTCGTGGTACACTGCATCTCTTCCCCATTCAGTGGTGTGAGATACCAGGTCATTCCTATGGACAGAGCATGGCCATAACTTGCATTCCGGCGGCTGATCATTGGAGAGCAGGAACAGAGATGGGACTCGAGGTCAGCTGGTAATCAGCAGACAGCAGCGGGCCTCTCTAATGAAGATGCCTGGCATAGCTGACAAGCTAAAGCAGACGCAGGAGGGATGAATGAGACGGAGTCATATGCTAATAGATGTCACTGTGATGACAGGATGAGGTCATGCTGTGCCAGGCATGTCGCCTCAATGCCAGCCACTACGAATTTCATCTCATCTGCTTTGCTATTGTTTGCTATTATGATGATATTCTTTCTTTTGAACTTTTAGAATCTTTCTAAGAGAATTCTGTCATATATAAATGACACAACATAGAAGTTGGAAAGAAAATTTTTGTACTTGTGCACAAAAAGTGCTGTGAATAGTTGCCAGTGTCAAGATACAGTCACATTTACCGCTGCTTGGTAAATTTTCACAGGCGAAATCCAGTAATTTCAAAAAGAATCCATGTGATGGTGAATTTCGTGTCTGGGTTTCCCCACGCAGATTTGCCAACAAATTCATGTTCACCAACAGAAAGCTGCTTGGTTTGAAAGTGTCTTCTGTGTGAGCTGTGCTGCATACATCTACACTCCCTGAAATTTTGCTAATGTGACCGCACTTTTATGCTATGTGCTTGCTAGGGTGCTCTGAACGGTTTTTAGTGTGTCTCTATACATTCAGAGTGTTTACATAAGGTGGTCTGTTGGGTTTTTGGGTTCAAAGGTGTTTGGTTGTCTGCTAGAATTCTAGATATCATTCGGATTCCTCCTTTAAATCAGTGGTTCTCAACCAGTGGGGCCACAGGATGACTCAATTATTCAGATTAATCAGTTATTGTTATTAATATATTATTATTGATTAATATAATCAAATGCTGATCTAAAATAAAATTCTAAAAAAACACTAACACAAATATACTAGTATTTCAATATTCAAACCAAATATCTGTATTACTTGTATTATTTGAGATGTTGAGCATGTGTGGGGGTGTTGTATTATTATGAGTAACCTTAGATGGCAGACTTTGCAGCACTATATAAAGAGCCCATCAGCAGCTCGCCTGCCATGTGCAGTGCCTATAACAACTTCATTGAGATAGGACTAACTGCAGAACCGCAGAACCATACGTCATGACAGTCTGAGGACAACAGCACCAGACCAGTATGTAAACACTGTAGGGCATAAAATATACATAAATACATCATTCTGATTGTAATGTATTATATGTATCATTTACAATGTAAACATATTTAAAGTGTTTATGAGGAACATTCAGTATTTGGATTCCTTATAATATTTCAAATTATTTTCTGTTGGACAGGCAAGATTAATTTTGATGATATAAACCTGGAGAAAAACTATGATGCACACACAAGTTATCGACAGAGCAAGCTGGCAAATGTTCTGTTTACCCGGGAACTAGCTGTCAGACTGAAAGGTAAACTATAGACCTGAAATGCTATATTGAATTTAACGTGGATAAAAATGAGACTGTAAGGTCTGAAAAATGAGACTGTACTGTATAAATGTCCTAGATATCATTTTCACAACTCACAAACTCAGAACTGTTTAATAGATTATTTATATAGGAAGTTTTTTTTTCTTTCTGAAAGACGTTTGATCAGCTAAACATTTGGCATACTGTTAAATAACAGTACAGTCCATTGAATGTGCTGTACTTCACAGCCTATCCCTCACAGCCTTGTTGTCATTCCTGTCAAAAATTAAATATGGCGCTACCCTGACTAAGGTCTATCATGAAAACTTTCTCACTCTTACAGTTTTGAAACATCACAATGTCACATCTACACACATGCACACTCTCAAACACGCTGCTTTCAAACTCTCTCCCTTTATATCATTCAGGCACCGAAGTGACAACGAACGCTCTTCATCCTGGGGTGATCCATACTGAGCTGGGCCGACACCTTCTCCCCTCTCTGCCTCTATGGAAAAGGCTTTTGTTCTTGCCCCTTTTTTTCTTTGTCAAAACCCCTTGGCAGGGTGCGCAGACCACCATCTACTGCGCAGTGAATGAGAGTCTGCAGAATACTAGCGGACTTTACTACAGGTCAGTAGCTTTTTCTATCACATGTGTTAAATGTAATATAGTAAGATTTTGCTCATCAAGGCCTGTGAGAGGTGTACACAAACTTTCCAAAGTTAGAATTATTAAATATGTATCACCTCTTCCATGACATAATATACTGCCACCAAATTGTAGCACGTTGATGACAAACTTGTGACGGCGATCTTTGTTTTACAATGGATGCCATCGTCATTTAATAAGTTCAAAATGAAAACAAACTGTTTTCACCACTTTTTCACAGTGTTCTCAGACCATTGCTGTTCAATTATGATCATTTCAGGCTGTGATTAATTTCTCTTTTGGTGGTTTTACAGTGATTGTGCACCCAAAGAGGCAGCTCCTCAGGGTAGAGATGATGCTGCAGCCCGCAGACTGTGGGATCTCAGTGCTTCTATGGTGGGCCTGGCTTGAGACAAGACCTTGCCCCGTGAAAATCACTCTCTTCATTTAAAAATCAGTTTGTCACATTTCCTGTGTAGAATGTGCATTTCAAATTTGCAGACTAGTAAATCTGCTACTTTATATCAAGTACAGAGAGCCAGTTTAAGAATGTAGCAAAGTAGTGTTTCGGTGTGCAGGATGAGGCTGGCTCTGTAACAAAGTGCCTATGCAATGAGATGAACTGCAATATGAAGTGTGAATTTCAGCAGTAAATAATTAGTGAGATTTTATATACTGTAATGCCATTAGCCATTTTGCATAGCGTAATTAGACATTTAATGTACCTTTTAAAAATAGATTTCATTGCCAGTACTTATGTAATTTGTTACCATGTTTCACAATAAAATTGTGTAATATGAATTTAGGTTAACATTTCAATAAAGCCTATTTTTGAATAATGAAATAAAGACAATGAATCAGTACCCTCTATAAAATGAGTTTATGGTAAAGGTAAAGAGCATTTTATAAAAGCTGTAGCACAACATGAGCAGGATTTTGGAATAAAATTTGAGTTTTTAAAATTCCCTTACATAAACAGTTTGTTTGAAATCTCATTGTAAATAAGCACATTTAAAATATTACACTTTGATATTGTTTTCATTAAGTGACAAGCATGATTGTCATGAAATGATAATCAAGTCTGTATTAAGAAGAGTAACAAACACTTTACCAATTAGCAAAGTGCCTCAATCTAAAAACTAATTCTCTTTGGGGCTATAATTTAGATGTACAAAACTCAAACATGATTGCTATATATATATATATATATATATGTATAAAGATATGACATGAAATTAGTAAATTATGCAGCTTCAGCAGTATCTGGAAAAAAATAAAGTATATCATATATGATTTAGTAAACATTTTAAAATAATACTGATTTAAACATATTAACAACTATCAGTTATTAAGTCACTGACATTCACAAATGTGCAATCACCAACACACCCTGACCTGAGTGCCCAGCGGGTACAAAGCTGTATGTGTCAGCCACATGCCCTTATCAGTTCTCCGTCCAACAGATTCAGCATCTTTAGCTGGGCTGGAAAAGTGATAAGGAGATGTGAGCAACCATTTGTACATATACTCAACAGTCCTATTGAGAACTCCCATTGCTTCCCTACAAAACTCAGGCACAAGCTCCCACCTGCTCTGTCCAGCTTTATTCTTTTAGCCAAAGGAACATCAAATGAGTCTTCATGACATGTCTCCCCATATACAGTAGGTAGCTGCAGCTGAGATTACCAGGTCCGGGTGGGAAGAAGACATCTGTGATTTTTCCAGTAGCTTTCGACCAGGATGAGTCTAAGTCCGTCTTCCACAAACCATCGTTTTGAGGCAGGAGGTTTGCGTGGTATAGCACAGCCTCACAGTCTGTACGTATGCCACTGTGGAGAGACACCCCACAGATGAGTTTTATTTCCTCTCCACCCCACCTATCTGCACGTCAACCTTGACATGCTATTGGTTCACATTTGGGGATCATAGGTCAAACCCCTTCAGCGGCCAAAAGAGGGTGTTTATTTGTTGTTTGCGCTGTCAGTCCTGATCAAATCAGCCAATGAAAAGGGAAAGGCCATGTTTGGAAGGTGTGTTCATCCCAGGTGTGTCTGAAAGGAACATTCCAGTCTTCACATACATGTCTGCCCATCTCTTCTTCTGCTCCCCTGGCTGCAACACACCCTCTTCAGACAAGAGACAGAACACTTCCTGCTGTAGGTTTTATGGGTTTTCACCTGCCAGATTCACTCAGCCTCACTTGTCACCTAATGCTTAGTAAGAGATAAAGAGATAAGAAATGTGTTTAATGACAGAGTTGGTTTACAAAACCAAGAGGAGAACAATTTTAAAGGCTTAAAGCTTTTGCTCAGTTTTACTTTACAGAATCTCACATGCACACTCACTTCCTCCATGCAGTTCTTTGATATTTAGGCCCTTAAATGATTCACCCAAAAAAGTAAATTCTGTTATTTTTACTCACCCTCATGTCATTCCAAACCTATATGAACACAAAAGAGAATATTTTTAATAATATTTTTGAACTGTTTTTGTCCATATTATAAAAGTCACTGGGGGTCAAAGCAACATTGGACTGCTTGACTTTTATTGACAAAAAAAAACACCCAAACATTTTTCAAAATATGACATTTTCAAAACAGAATTTCCATTTTTTGTGAACGATTCCTTTTACGGGTGCAAGCAGTAACACGCGCTGTTGGCTCTGAGCAATCAACATCACATTAAATTTCCCCACGCACAGGGTGTTTGTGTGTTTGTCATTGTGCGCATGTGCCCCAAGGTGGTGTGGGAATGCAGGTTTGTAGCATTCCAGGCGATACAAACTCAATGTATAGCTTCTGCCTAAGACGAGTTAAAACAAGTAAAACGCTTAATCATCCCTCAATGTGACCAAGAACTTATCACTTGCAATCATGTGTAATGGATGTCAGAGACAAAAGAAATAACGCTTATATCTGGCTCAAAACACAGACACGCAAAGATGCACACATTCACATATTTTAACGCACACCAGGGAGGTGGCCAGACAGCTGTCCAAAGAATTAAATCATGCTCATCGCTCAATGACTCAACAAATGCTTCACACACAGGACATGGTGCATTGGTTTAGTTCTAAGACAAAAATAAACTTAATCTTTAAAGCTCATAATTAATAAATGCCCATAAAAGGCAATGATTTTTTTAGTTTCTTAAATTGCATGATATTCTTTAAAAAAAAAACATTTTGGGGGGATATTTAAAGACATAGTCTTGCCTATAAGCAGGTTTATGGTTTATATGCAGTTATATATAAGGGGATTTTTTGGAGATCTGTAATGAATATATTAATATGAAATATATATTCCCCTATATATATATATATATATATATATACAATAAATCAAAATTCCTAGAAGTACATTGATTTTATTGGTAAATTTAAGTTGTACATAAAAAAGGGCATATGGACTCAACTTTACTGCCGAGAGATGAGCAGTCGTTCTGCCTGGCTGGTTGTTTCGTGAGTGATGGTTAGTGATGTCTTAGCATGCCAGTGTCAGGAAAGGGGAGCCAGTGACTCTGTGGGCTTTGTGGCCAATTATCCAGTTGAGTTCCTCTGGATAGTGTGAAAGTCGCATGCAAAGCAAACAAGCTTCAGTTGTCCTTTATCTGATCCTGGAGTTCCGTCCAAATCAGTCACCATGATCACTCATGTGGATAATAGGATATATGCTAAAACATCTTCAGCACCGGAGCAGGATTACAGAACACACATTCCCAGCATTACTAGCAGTCATCTCCTGTTCATCACTCTAATAAAAATAATAAAAATAAGTTTAGTTCTCCACAAAATAGATATACAGTATATTTAGTGCATTAAGTAAGGAATATTGTCATTTCCTATTGATACAAATGATTACTCTGCAATCTAAATGACATGCTATTCTTAACTAAACAACATATGAATTTAAGTATGTATGAAATTAAGTATGAATTTATGAATTTCAGTACCATTTTAGAAGCATGATATTTAAATATCTGCCAAAGTCTTAATTGATCAAATGTTTGAGATCTTACTGACTGACTGTTGTATTTATTATTTATATTATTAAATGTAATGTTAGGGAACATGCATATTATTATTGATACATTGCTGCAATAATATGTTTATTTCAAAATATGTATTCAAATTGTAATTGTAAAACTAGTTTTATCTGTCAACTGCAGAAATAGTGATGGCCAAAATTGTGTTGCTTTTAGCTTATCTTTGCCTGGATGTGTAATTGTAAATAATAATAATTCAATTTATTTATTTTTTGTCAAAATAAACCTCCACCTTTTGATTTTTGAAAATAGTAGTGGATATTTTATGCTTTTCAACAATATATTTTATAACAGTCACGAATGTTAAAGTGTAAAGTACACATATTACTTGCTTTATTTTAAGTGATTATATTCTGCCTTATACAGCAGTTTGTTTTGACCAACTGACCTTGTGAACTTTTTCCTTTGAGCAGAAACCTGAGCAACAAATTCTTGACTTGCAAAAATAAATCAATTATCATTTAATTTCAAGCTTCATATAATAAAACAACATTCTATTTTTTCCCCTTGGGCTTAATTCAAGTTTGAATAGTATTTAAATTTATTTTTAGTTTATTTCAAAGAAATATGATTATGAACTTGATATTTTCACATCCAGGCAAAGATAAGCTGAAATTATAGCTACATTATCCCAAATGTTTCGAAGAATGTTTAAATCCAGAGAAATAAGCAATTTTAAATAGTGACAGGGATTGTGTCGCCTGCCAATGACGTCATAACCAGGCGTCATCAAACTATGCCTTAGCCTCTTTGTTTATTTTGAATACGCGCCCTCTAGCGGCGAAAAATACACATTGTGCCTTTAAAGAGGGGTACAATGCTGTTTCGTGCATTCAGAGTTGTTTACACTGTTAAAGAGTTGGATTCTCATGCTAAGCATGGACAAAGTTTCAAAAAACAATTTGGAGGTATGACAGAGTGTTTCTGTACCAAAAATCGTACTTCCGGGCTCGTACAAATTTCAGAGTTTTTTTCGATTGTGGCTCTTCATGACGTAGACGAGGGTGGAACTCCTTATATGGGCATTTCTCCCGCGCACACACATAGACCATCGTTTGATACTGAAAGATGGAGCGGTCCCAGCTATAAAAGATCCCGGTCATGATTCAGAACTGCAGACGGTAGGTGAACCTGCATCAAATGTCTGTTTTGTTGGCATTCAGCTCTCAAGTGCTGGTCAATCTTTAGCTCCGCCCACGGCGCGCCTCCAGGAGCTCGGCTTTTTCCGGAGAGAATCGTAAAGCTGTACATTTCTTTTATAAATATGATAAAACTAAAGACTTTTTGGAGATATAAGGATGCAGTACTACTCTATAGGTACTCAAGATTAACATGAGATTGGGTGAAACTGTGTGTGTTATGCCCCCTTTAAGTTAAGGGTTACATTATTACCCAAACATGAAACGTCATGAGTGCACATTAAAACACCTCCCAAATAATGAATATTAAAGAAGGTCTTCAGAGATTAGCAAATCAACTTTCACTATTTTTGTGTCATAACAAAGGGGATGGGGACAGTTACAAAACGGATCAGTTGCGCGGGAGTTTTCATAATCAGCATGTTCAAAGGAAGTGTGTTGAATAACCTGATCTGCATAGACATGGATGCAGATAAAAGTAATATAAGTTTAAAGACGATGCCACTTTTACAGGTGAGCTCAACGTTCGCTCCCTTACTGAACGTTTCTCACTTGCACACTTTATAGAAATACAACACGTGCTCATAACTAGTCAGTATTTCATAAGTATCTTGACACTGTGTGCACAAGCATATATCTATAGACAGTTTATTCATTGCATTGTACGGTAGCTCGCATGCGTTTGAAGTCACGGTTGTTTCACATGTAATTTTGCGCTTGTTTAACTTGCTTAAATCCGCTATTATCGCCAGATTCAACTGCATGTTATCTCTCCTGAAGACGAAATGAGAACTGCTAATTTGATATAAGAGTGGGTCACAGAACGACAGCGAAGAACTTTATTTTTGAAAGAAAATGAAATTAATCACTGTACCTTAACCGTCGAATAAAAACCAGCGTGACACAGCGCTCAGAAATCATTTTTTGAATCCACAGTCATGGCCAAAAGTTTTGGCAGTGACAAATTTTGTGTTTTGCTTTTATCAGTTTCAGATAATTTTTAATCTTGTGCTAGTTAGTAGTAATTTTCCTCACTTGTGTGATGAGAATGTGTCATATATTGCATATATGGAATGAGGTCAGCGCATAACGATCTTCCCACCCCTATCCGGAATGCTGAATCCCTGACAATTTTCAAGCGACAGCTGAAAACTCATTCGAAGCTACTTGATTCATCATAATAAAAAAATCTGTCTCTTTATTTATTCCTTCTCTTTCTAGCTTGTAAAGTCATTTAAATAATCTCTTACCTTCAAATAATCCTGTTTTAATCTTGTTTTGTTTTGCCAACTGAAGTACAACCTTCAACACATTACAAATAACACCTCTGTTTTTTTACTCTGGTGTATCATCGCTCACCCTCAGGCCTGAAAAGTTTTGACTTTTTGTCAACCAACTGCTCCACTTTACTACTGTGTATGGAATGGGGATGTTGCCGTCGTTGATCGGAGAACTCCCGAGTAAGACCAAAATGTCAACATAAATGTTGAAGCTAAAAAAAACACAGAAATATATTTATTTACATCATAATTAATAAAGAAAACATGTGATTGCAGGAAGTCATATGAATCTCTGTATACCATGGCTGCAAATCCACTGCGCTGGGTTCATGTCCATCCTGTGCAACAGCATTACTTTGTAGTGGCAGAGAGCAGGTATTTCAGAATACTTCATTGCCGAGGAAATGACTACATATCCTGCAGACTGAAGGATATTGTGTGTTTTTTTTTATTCTTTTAGTTTTGTAAACATATATGACTTGCACCATCTGAAAAGAAGAAACAATCAAGCAGTTGGTGAACTCAGCGGTCACAGCCGCAGTGTCTCCAGTGCCTTTTTCTCCCTACTCGCAGGCAACAGGGTTCTGACCACTTGTATGGACAACAAGATCAGGTGCTCAGAGATGCAAGTGTCACTGCCAGAAGTGCTTATATTAAATCTTGGATATCCCTCCATTCTCTTTTGAAAATGCACCAGTAGAGGGTGTCAGAGCATCATGGCTACGACTATCATTTAAGCCAAAATAGGTTGTGTTGGCTTTTTATTTTCTTATTAGCAACTAAAAAGTTATATATATTACTAGAATTGGACATGGCATCATTTTCCAAACCGCTTATCCTCTGTAGGGTCATGGGGATGCGGGAGCCTGAAGATTAGGAAATGCATTACGATATGTATTACAAATGTTTTTATTAGCCTTTTTGTGATTTTGTTTCAGGGTATTCAACACTTCCTAAATGGATGGCAGGACTCCTGTACTAAAATCAATTACGTAAGTACATATATTGTTATTATATGTGTAAAAATAATCTCTATCATGACATCATCAGTTCTTTTGATGTTTTTGATCAAAAGAATAATGAAAAAAAAAAGTATCCCTCTCCACAAAAGTATTACGCAGCACAAGTGTTTTCAGAATTGATAAATAAGAATGGTCTCTTGAGCAGCAAAAGAGCATATTTGAATGATTTTGATTAGAAGGATCGCATGACACTGAAGACTGAAGGAAGGGCTCCTGAAATTTCAGCTTTGCCCTCACAAGAATAAATGACGTTTTAAAATATATGAAAAAATTAAGTTATAATACGTTAAACATTAAAATCTCATAATGTTACTGTTTTGCTTATATTTTTGACTTGGTGAGCAGAAGAGAAGAAATCTTGCCTACTCCAAACTTTTAAACAGTGGTATATCATTACAAACGTCACGATAACCTGTTTATAAATCAAAAGAATTACATAATGTGAACAGGGCTTCAAAAATGGTCAAAGAACATACACTGTGTTCCAAATTATTATGCAAGTGACATCAATAGGATTGCGGTACAATAAAGAGTCAGATTTTTGTTTGTTGTTTTTCACATCTTTTTAGATAACTGGTATCAATCTCAGACAGGTTTGTTCAATAGTTTGCCAGGTCTTCTTAGGTAAATGGAAACCCTGCTTAAAGAGGTTCCACATTATTAAGCAAGTCACAGTTCTCATGCAGTATGGTGAGGAAGAAAGATCTTTCTGAAGATGAAAAGTATGAAACAATGCAATGTCTTGCAAAAGGCAAAATGGAGATTATTGAAGTGTCAAAACATTTGTGAGTGACTTAGAGCACAGACGATCTTGGACAGATAAAGATTTATTAAGGAAAGTTTCTGTCAAACAAATTAATTGTATTGTAATGCCAGCTGTAAAAAAAAAAGCCACTGGTGAGCAGCAGACAGGTGTTTGAAGCTACTGGAGTCTCAAGATCCTCTCCATGCAGACTGGCAGTTGTGTGTAAAGCTGCGTTTCAGTCACTGCTAACCAAACCTCACAAAGAGAAACCTGCACAGTGGCTGAAAAAATTAAGTTATAATACGTTAAACGTTATAATTTCACAATGTTACTGTTTTGCTTATATTTTTGACTTGGTGAGCAGAAGAGAAGAAATCTTGCCTACTCCAAACTTTTAAACAGTGGTATATCTTTACAAACGTCACGATAACCTGTTTATAAATCAAAAGAATTACATAATGTGAACAGGGCTTCAAAAATGGTCAAAGAACATACACTGTGTTCCAAATTATTATGCAAGTGACATCAATAGGATTGCGGTACAATAAAGAGTCAGATTTTTGTTTGTTGTTTTTCACATCTTTCCAAGATCTTCTGTGCTCTAAGTCACTCACAAATCTTTTGACACTTCAATAATCTCTATTTGCTTTTCGCAAAATATTATTTGTTTTGATGCCTTTTGCAAGTCATTGCATTGTTTCATACTTTTCATCTTCAGAAAGATCTTTTTTCCTCACCATACTGCATGAGAACTGTGACTTGCTTAATAATGTGGAACCTCTTTAAGCAGGGTTTCCATTTACCTAAGAAGACCTGGCAAACTATTGAACAAACCTGTCTGAGATTGATACCAGTTATCTAAAAAGATGTGAAAAACAACAAACAAAAATCTGACTCTTTATTGTACCGCAATCCTATTGATGTCACTTGCATAATAATTTGGAACACAGTGTATGTTCTTTGACCATTTTTGAAGCCCTGTTCACATTATGTAATTCTTTTGATTTATAAACAGGTTATCGTGACGTTTGTAAAGATATACCACTGTTTAAAAGTTTGGAGTAGGCAAGATTTCTTCTCTTCTGCTCACCAAGTCAAAAATATAAGCAAAACAGTAACATTATGAGATTTTAATGCTTAACGTATTATAACTTAATTTTCTCATATATCTGTGCTCTAAGTCACTCACAAATCTTTTGACACTTCAATAATCTCTATTTGCTTTTCGCAAAATATTATTTGTTTTGATGCCTTTTGCAAGTCATTGCATTGTTTCATACTTTTCATCTTCAGAAAGATCTTTTTTCCTCACCATACTGCATGAGAACTGTGACTTGCTTAATAATGTGGAACAACCTCTTAACTAAGGTTTACTTTAAGTTTACTTCACTATATTACAATTAAATCCTAATCTAATCATGTCAAACTATATATCATTAGAAAGGTCTAAGACTCCTAAATATTTTACCACTGCTTTTTGTTAAAAATTATGTAGGAAAAGTAATAGATTAATTTATGACAAGAGTGCACCTCAAAAATCTACATCACAACAAGAGTTCTGACCTTTGTCACAAAAAGTCTTCTTTGTTGCCTTTTTCTCTATCAGAAATTATATATCAATTGAAAACTTAAAATCTAAAAATTCATCCTTTGAAACCCATTTTAAAATCAGACATTGCATTACCATGAAAATGGTACATCAAAATCATGTTACAAAATGTTTTTATTCATGAATTATAAAAATTTAAGTTTGGATAGTGCACTTTCACATCTATGTTCAAAAATGTGAGTGACAATTAAGAATTGGGAAGGTTGTGGGTTCGAGTCTCGTACCGGCAGGGTATTGTAGGTGGGGGGAGTGAATGTACATCGCTCTCTCCCACCTTCAATACCACGACTGAGGTGCCCTTGAGCAAGGCACTGAACCCCCAACTACTCCCCGGGCGGCGCAGCAAAAATGGCTTCCCACTGCTCCGGGTGTGTGTGTTCATTCACTGCTGTGTGTGTGTGCTCTTTGAATGGGTTAAATGCAGAGCACTAATTCCAAGTACGGGTCACCATACTTGGCCACGTCACTTTTTTTAAGTAGGATTTCCATTTGCCTAAGAAGACCTGGCAAACTATTGAACAAACCTGTCTGAGATTGATACCTGAAATTTACCTGAAATTATGTGAAAAACAAAACAAACAAAAATCTGACTGTTTATTGTACCGAAATCCTATTGATACGTCACTTGCATAATAATTTGGAACACTGTATGTAAAAATGATGCCCCAAAAAGCGGATGAAAACGTACTAACTAAATGAACAATATTGTTTTGTTAATATTGGTGATAAATTAATATAGTTTAGTTTATTCCGACCAGATTTCTAGATTATTCTGCAAAATTGAATTTGAATGGTTGAATTTATGCACATCTGGCCCTTTCCAAAAGTTTTTGTTGGACCATTTTTTTCCCAATAACTTTTTTATTAGAGGTGCCCATTAGGTATGACGATTCGATTCGATTCAATTCACGATACTAATTTCATGATTAAATTTTCTTACTATTTTTTTTTTTTTTTTTACAAAATTAGATTTAAGACAAATTATAAATGAAAAGTTGTCCTTTTATTATTGCTTGGACAAACTTCTGCACATTTCTTTGTGAAACAGAAATATGTCAAATAACAAAACTAAACTGACATTTTAAAACAAACCCTAAATCTAATAAAATAAATAAGACAAAAAACAAAAAGCTCTTCATATAAACAAAGGCTTTGCCTGTGCTCTTTCCATTCAAAACTAGAGGCATCCACTGCATTGGAATCACAATCCAAACAAAGATGCTGAATACATGCAGCATGAGCAGTTTTTTTTATCTAAATTAGATTGTATAATTTGAAATTTTAAAACAAAACCGAATGCTTTGACTTTAGTTTTGTGAAACTATATTACATAAGACATCTGCACGAAACAAAGACAGCAGACGGGCTGAATCAGATGCAATTTCACTCTCTGACTGCAGGTGGCGCTTATGGAACAGCAGCGATACAGCGATTCCTTGGCTGTAAACAAAGCAGCGCAGCGCTTATGAACGCTGCTTTAAATATGCATTATAAAGAGACGAGATTAAACAATTTTTTTAATCTAAACTTTTCTAAAGACAGTCAGTTCCCCTCAGAGATACATTCATATAAACACCCACCCCCAAATGTATCATGATTCATTTAACATCTCAAAAGATTTGAATCGTCACATATTTGTATCTCACGGTGAATAGTTACATCCCTAGTTCCCATTGTAACAGCCTGCTAAATTATTTCTATGCAGGCACAACATGCAGACAGGTCAGTGGTTGTCCAAGCTAAGTGCAGTGTGGGATCCAAAACAGCAAGAATGTTTTGTGATTGGCAGTGTAGACAGGCTTCGTCGAATTCAGGTACATCACGAGAGCGGTCGCCGCCTACACACTTTTCAAAACATGGACCACCTCACCACGGTGCGCTCCATCACAGCATTCCACCCAAGCAGGAACATTCTGCTTGGAGGCAATTCAAGTGGGAGGCTGCACATATTTACTGACTCTTTCATCATCTAGAAAATATAAATTTCTTTACCTGTTTGTTGATTTGATTTGTGTTGGTTTTCTGCTTCCCTCTTTTTCCCCTTATTGTACACCCAACAGCATTTACTTGTACTGTTGTTTTATATAAAATATGATGTATGCTTTTGTTCCTGTAACATTATACATGTAATATTAAAGATAATATAAACTCTTGAATAATCTTATCTTAGTCACATGTTTTCTTTCAAATAATGCCATTTGATAAAGTAACTGAACCTAGATTGTGATTTGTACCTGTATTTTGTTTTTATAATGCATCCTGAATTAAAGGGATAGTTCACCCAAAAATGAAAAGCTGACAGTTGATCTTTCAAGCTGTTTCATGCCACTCAGCGGGTGTTGCATCAGTCCAAAAGCAATTAAATAAAATGCGCCCATCCATTAAAAAAAAAGTGTCTCACACGTCTCCGGGGGTAAACAAAGGACTCCTGTAGCGAATTGATGCATTTTTGTAGGAAAAATATCCATATTCAAAACGTAGTATTCACTTTAATCTGGCTTGCGCTCACTGTTGTACACAGAAGCAGTTCCGGGAGCATGACGTATTGAGGTCAGCGTTGTGCATGCGCCGGTGAGTCTCGTGAAAACCAACATTTGTTAACAGGAGCAAAGGAAGCAAAGTTTCCTTACTTTAGCAAAGGAAAACCAGTCTCCTCTTGGCTTATATCGAAATCCTCCGACATTCTTCTTTACAAATCCTCGTTTGTACTTCTAATTAGTGACCGTCGTTTTGTTTTGATCTCTCCCCTTCGCTTCCGCGTGCGTCACTTCTGAGCGGCGCATGCGCAAAGCCGACCTCCATACGTCATCCGCCCGGAACTCCTTCCCTTTACAACAGTGAGCGCAAGCTACATTAAAGTGATTATTACATTTGAATATGGATATTTTTCTTACAAAAATGCATGGATTTGCTACAGAAGTCCTTTGTTCACCCCCGGAGCCATGTGAGACACTTTTTTTGTTTTAATGGCTGGGGGCTTTTTAATTAAATGCTTTTAGACTGATGCATGCAACACCCGCAGAGTGCCATGAAACAGCTTGAAAGATCAAAGACCATTTTTAATATAACTCAGACTGGATTTGTCTGAAAGAAAAAAATCATATACACTTAGAACGACATGAGGGTGAGTAATTAATGACAGAATTTTCATTTTTGGGTGAACTAACCCTTTAACTCACAAAGTTTATAGTCTAGTCTAAGTCAGTTGAGCACATTGTCCATCTAAACATTCATTTCAGTACATATACTTACAAAAAACAACTTCAAAAAACAAGTTTATTTAAGAATCTACAGAGTTGCCTTGAGAGACCGCTTACTACAAATGTGACGCAGGCTTTATCTCTTTTAATTATACCAGAACTCAGTCAATGATGAAAGAGGCTCATCATAAGTAATTAACTGACTTTTTCAAAGTGCAAAATAAATAGCAAATCAATATAACGGAACAGTAATTCTCCACTCAGAGGTTGTTAAACCAAACTGTAGATTACGCTTAGTTCTGACAACAGTAGTGGTGTTCAGGAATGGGCAGCATATGGTCCTGTACCAGACGAAGAGCAGTAGCTTTGGTACACAGAGCCCAGGCACACGCTCACTCTTTATTTCCTTTTTACCCACACAAGCCTATCTACTCATGCAGATATCCAACCATTTACATGGGCCTTACATGTTTTTTGTTTTACGCTAGAAGTCTCTGTGTTTCTATGAGTTCCTGTAAGTGAAGGCAATGTAAATGAAAATAAGTAAATATACTGCTCTGAGGTACCACACAGATGAAGGCCACAAGGCTGCATGCACCTGCTATTCTCATATTCCCAACCAAAGTTATACTTGGAGGACAGTGTGTATTACATTACACAAGACTGTATGTGTATGCACCGGCATTTTATGATGCTAATGTATTGGGTATTAATGTAACCATGTGATCCACAACATACTAAAATACAGCGTTGATGTTTGTTCGAGCTGGAAGGAGTCAAAGGACTCTTTGCAAAACTATCAGTCCCTTTTTATTAGAGACCCAACCGGAGTGGCTACCCCATGAGATCAACCCCAGGAGGTCAAAATGGCCTTCAACTACCTGCTCATTAACAACTTCAAAAAGGGTAGCAGTGGTTCTCAAGGAGGAACATCTCAATCAACTCATGGTTGATTAAGTGCCAGTACAGGCCATTTGTTACTTAACATTTATTCAGCTTGACTTTAATTCAGTTTTTATGCTGTACTGTAGTTTCCCACATCCTTTCCAAAGTTATAATAGTCAAGTTCCTGGATGGCCACCTCAGAGAGCTTAGTTAGGTTTGGCGCATCATTATTTTCCATATTCTCTGGTGTTGTAAAATTGAAGTTCTCATCCTCATAGTCCTCATGGGGCTCCATGTCTGGTGGGCCATCTATATTAAAAATCAAAATAAAATAGAAAAGGCAGACGATTATAAGGTTTTGCTGCCATGTTAGAGGATGTTAATCATATACTGTTGGGTTCTTCTCACCTTGTCCATCTGGAGAGACGTCCATTCCATGTTTGACCTTCATGTGTCTGCTAAGATTTCCCTTCAGGTTAAATTTACTTGAGCAGTATACACATTTGAAGGGTTTACTGCCTGCATGGAGGTGCATGTGGCCCAGGAGGTTGTACATTCGGTTAAATGATTTTCCGCACACCTGTGGAAAGCAAATCAAAAGAGCTTTACAAACCAGATGGAAAAAGTGTCACATAGAGATGTGTGAAAAGTGTTTGAAGTTTTACCTTGCACTTGAAAGGTTTCACAGGCAAGTGTACGATCATGTGAGTTTTGAGGGTTTGTTTCTGGACAAAAGATTTGAAGCACACATGACACTGGAATGGCCGGACACTGGCGTGGATTAACATGTGCCTCTTCAGGTTTGCAGACAATGTAAACTCTCTGGCACATACATCACATTTAAACCCCTTTGTCCCCTGTTAAAAACAAGCAACAACAACAAGTGAATAAACTGTACATGTAGAATAAATTTGAATTTTTACGTCAGCAGTAGATAATTAGTCTGAACAATTAGCATGTCTATGAAAATATTATGTTACTGGCTGAAATATACTGCATTGTATTTTAAGGTACTAATGCAGGCTACATAGATTTTCTGCTACAATGGACATTGTTCACAGGAAAATGGCTGTGAGTGAGATTGAGAAGAAAGAAAATGGAGGGATGAGAATGGAGAAAAGATGCCTTTACTATTTTACCATATTACACTCTTACTGAATGTACAGTATTAAAAATAGATATTCCTTTTGAAACAATAATAAAAGGAGGAAGACCTTTGGAATCTGCTAGTTAGATGATAAATGTTACACAACAGAGTTCAAAGAGTTAAATCCAATGAATTAGAATCATTGGTTGAGTTTGCAATTAAGTAAAGTCAAACCCAATGCAATAAACTATAATGGGGCCCCAAAAAACTTAGCGAAAACACTGCTTTGCGTTACTGCTAGATGACAATCTACAATAAACAGACAGAATTATGTAGTATTGGCTAATAATAATTAGAACAAAGATTGATAATGTACTAAAATAAAACACAAATTTAACAAAGACTCATTATACATGTAGGATGTGACCTCAGCATAGCAAACAACAACAAACATACATAGTTGTTCAAAAGCACACTATTGCTTCTGTACCTTAGTAGCACGGGCCTGAGGCTTGTTTGTCTTGTGTGTGAGGGAGTGTTGGCGTAGCTGATGCAGCTGAAGAAACTGCAGGCCACACTGACTGCAGGAGAAGGAGCGCTGCGTTTGGTGCTTCAGCAGGTGATTCTGCAGCTGGCTGCGGTAGGCGAACGACTTGTTGCACTGGCTACACTGGAAGGTGGAAGGTCCTTGGTGGCTCACCTGATGACGCTTCAGGTGGGCGTAGGTGGGAAACTCCATGCTGCACTGCGAGCAAACATGGCACCGACCTCGTTCGTGCTTTACTTCGTGAGCACGGAGTTCACTAGGGTATGCGAAACCACGGCGACAAAAACGGCAACTGTAGGGCTTAACGTCGGTGTGCTGCAGCATGTGCCGCTTCAGGTGGCTGGTCTGGGTGAAGCCCTTCTTGCACACGGTGCACTTGTGTGGCCGCGTGCCCTGGTGCGTCAACAGGTGCGTCTGTAGGTGGCTGGGCTGCTTGAAGAGTTTTCCGCAGTGTGGACACGCATGTGGCTTGATGCCATTGTGGCCCAGGATATGTGTGACCAGATTGTATTTGGAGGTGTACGACTTCTCGCACATGCGGCACTTCCAGCGCTTGAGGCCCTCGCCGACGTCCACGCAGTACGACTCATTGATCTGGATGTTGATGTCCAGTCGGTCGATACGGCGGCCACGGGGTGCCTCTCCTTCCACTGGCTCTGTCCAGAACATCCCCTCGCTGTTCTCATCGAAGTCTCCGACCGCTTCCATCTCGCCACCTTCATAGCCCACCTCGCTCGGCTGAAAATAATTGCTCATTTCCTCGCCACCGGTTCCTGGTTTCCCCATGCCATTTCTCCCATTATCCCTGTCCTCAGTTACCTCATCTACTCTTTTTTCATGTGTGTGGCTTCTGTTGCGTGATGGTACCTCATGAGGTGCGTGGCTGTGGCCATGGGAATGTGGGTGTAAATGTGGATCGGGTGGAGTATGCATACTCTTGGGGTCTCGGACACAGGTGGAGCAGCAGTTGTTGGGTTGGGCTTTGGGCAGGACCCTGTAGCTGGAGGGGTCGACCATTTGCATGCCTTCTCTGGGCACCATGTTGTTCATCATGTGAGTGCAGGAGGGCAAACCTGGGGTCACGGCTTCTCCTTTAACGTGTGTTGCCATGTCTTGGTGCCCTACAGGGGGTTTGCTGTTCTCGGGTTGACCCTGCCACCTTCTCTCAGCACAGCTGGAGTGCATGTGCCCATCCTCACCCAAATTCTCCCCAAGATAGTCGCCGTTGGCGCCTATAAGCTGGTCAGCATACTCGTAGTCCATTCTCTCACCTGGTGGAGCGGGGGACTCTTTGGGGTCTCCGGTGTAAAAGCCGTTGGGGGCGATGGTGG